TGTGTGTGTGTGTGTGTGTGTGTGTGTGTGTGTGTGTGTGTGTGTGTGTAAAAAGCACTGGTTTATTTATTCTTTGAGTGTTTCATGCAGTGCATTTTGATCATATTTCCTCCTCTCCCATCTCCTCCCAGATCCCTCCACATTACTACTCACCCCTCCCTATGTTAGCTCCACTTTTTAAAAAGATTTATTTATTTTATGTGTATGAGCATTTTCGGCAGCATGTGTGTCTGTGTGCCATGCGTGTGAACTGCCATGCGTGTGCCGGGGATCAAATCCAGGTCCTCCACAAAGCAGCAAGCGCTCTTAACCGCTGAGCCATCTCTCCAGGTCCCACTTCTCCTTTGAACCTATCTAGCCCAGTGTCTAGCCCAGTGCACGCTGCCCAACTACTCTTGGGGACTTTTTTTTTTCACTATTTATTTTTTTTTCTAACACCCCACTAAGCTATATTATCCTTGAAGTCTGGGATTTTGCTGCCTTTAGCGCTGAATCTCCTGAGGGCTGGAACAGATCCACGACATTGACACACTGAGACTGACAAGGCAGCCCATCTCCCTGATTACACGCCCACCACTTAATGACAGCATGATAGCATTTCCACTCTGTTCCCTGCGGCTCCGTGGGTCTATAAAGGTAGACAGGTATCAGTCGGATTCCTGGCCATGCTGGTGGCATGGCTGTTGCTTAGAGGAGGGTGAGTGAGACAGGGTGGAGTGTCAGAGGAGGCTTACTCTGGACTTACAGTGAGGCTTAGTGTCATGACGTATCCCCATATTAGTTGCACACTTAAAATTATCTTTAAAACTATGTGTGCTAAAAGATGCTGCTGCTTCTCAGGGAAGGCTGCAGAAAGACGCCAGCTGGGAGACTGCCACTGTAATGGCCTGATTCTTCACTCCTCGATGCACACTGGGCACTGCAGGGGATAGGGCCACCTTGCCCCAGTGGGGCAATTTAATGTCAACCCTACTTACTGTGCATAAGCTCAGATCCAACAGGCACTGGAGGACATTCCAGGGACCAGCCAGAGCGAAGGTTGGAGGCAGGAAATGTGGTTGGCATGGGAGGCAGGAAGCCACTGGAGGAAATGGCTTGGAGGTTGACAGGCAGGCCAGTCCCCACCTCTAGAGTGTCCTGGGCATAACTAGCATTTGATAAAAGCCCCTGGGAAGTTTTCAATAGAGGGACATGATTTCAATTATTTTGAGAAACATCAGCCTGGCCGTAGTGCAAAGAGGGACTGGAGGTGACAGGGACACAGACGGGCCAAGGCCTTGTGAGTCGGGGGCAAAGGCTAGAAAGATGGCTGCCAGAAAAAATGAGCAGGTGTCCCCAAAGGTATCTAGAAGGGTAGCGTGATGGTTGTCAGTACCTAGGATAGAGCCAAGGTGTGGCTTTTTGAACTCCTAGCAGCCTCCATGGCTACATAGCTGCCTGCCTGGTCTGGGTCGTTCTCTAAGCAGGGCAGACTTCTGCTGCATGAAGCAGGGCTGGCTGGATCTAAAGCAAAGCATCCCTGAGGATCACGAGGCACTCAGCAGTCCTCCCTGCCTGGGTCACGTGGGGTAGGGCCTATCCCTTTGGGGCCCATGACCAATCTCTGAGTGACTCCCTGCCTCTCTCGCAGACTCGCCTGCAGGCTGGTGTCGGCTACGGGAACACGCTCAGCTGCATTCGCATGGTGTACAAGAGGGAGAGCGTAAGTGCCGGGGGTGGGGGGGTCATCTGTCAGGGCCTCCCTCCGTTCCTGTGGACGGGGCCAGGCCACACTCCGACACTAGTGCAACAGGCGTGAGGCAGCCTGTCCCAGTATTACCTGTTTTCTCATCCGGTGCCACACGGCAAATGCTATCCTGCCTCAGCTTATCCCCGGCCACTTAGTGCATTTCTGGGGAGAAACTGGTTTTGTATGAACTCTCTGGAGAAGCTCTGAGGATGGACAGTTTCTACCAGAGCCAGGTGGACTGTTGGTTTCCCAAAACAATGATTGCTGGGGAAGCCAGGTCTTGGCAGGTTTCCCTTTATCTCTGTCAGCAGTGGGCGCCTCCCCACGTGCCTGAGGCGCTGACATTTAAGCAGGAAATGGAGGAATTGTAACACCTGCTTCCTTCTTAAGAACTAGCAGGTTGCTTTCTAAGACTACTCTTTGGGGAATCTAAACTTAAAAGTAATACAGGACAAAACGGCCTAATTTAAAGAAACAGTCAGCTGTGGCTCACAGTGGCTCGGCAGCTTCCCCTCGAGTCCTGGAAGTGTGCCCCGTTGTGACAGTCATCTAGGTCACCACTGTTGTTTTAGCTCCCTTGATTGGCTTCTCTGAAGTGAGGGTGATCACTGCCAACCTCGAACGTGGTGTTCCAAGGTAAATGGGTGTGATTCCCCAGTCTCCTGAAAGATAGCCATTGATTCTTCTTCTCTTTTGGCTCACGTCCCCTGAATGCTTGCCAGCGGCTGTCCCCGTGCCGGGCCTCTGGCAGGACTTCAGGTGGTATTTCTGAGGTTGTGTAGTTCCGGGTCCCAAGTTCCGGAGGAAGAGCCTGAAACAAGGTGTATGCATCTGTGCGTTTGCACGCTCACATGTATGTGAGGTGCCCTGCGCTAACGGGATCATGGGTCCGTGGCATAACTTCGTACATTTTCAGTGTGTGGCGCACCTTTCTAGAACGTTCTCGTCGTTGGCACAAGAGGACTGTTTCAGCTCTTCCAGCGGCCGTGGAATTTTCCAGTTGCTCTTAGAGCGTCTGTGGTCTCACTGAGAACACAGTTACAGAGGAGACCTTGACCCCTGCAGGAGGCATTGCCTCTCGCCTCCCTGCTCCCTCACTCTCCCCGCTTCGTTTCCTCTGTGTGTGTGTGTGTGTGTGTGTGTGTGTGTGATGTACACCTCTCTCTCTCTCTCTCTCTCTCTCTCTCTGTGTGTGTGTGTGTGTGTGTGTGTGTGTGAGTGATGTACACGTGTTTGTGTATGGTGGGTCCCATTCTGAGCTCCTGTCGCTGGGACCCTTGGGAGCTCCCTTTGTGAGCCCACTACCACAGACTTACTGAGTTGTGCCTTGTGGCCCATCCATTTGTCTGTGTCCTTCATGCCACCCTCATCTGCCTTACCCCCAGACCATGAGCCCAGTGAGTGTGAACAGTTTTCTTATTGGTGTGCCCAGGGATCTACGCACGGGAGGTAGCCAGAGAGAGAGAGTGTTCTGCTTGAGAGGCAGGTGAGGAGGTGTGCTGGTCCGTGAGCATTCCCCACTGCTCCTTAGGCTCCTCAGACGCTGTGCAGCCACAGCCTGATCTCCCCAGCTCCAGACACTGCCGTTTGGGGTGTACACACATCTTAGCCAAGGCTGCATTGTGCAGGAGGCTCGTCCTTAGGTTCTTAGGGCTGGAACGATTGCTGGGTTGCATGTGGTCTTGCTCCTCTATCCTCTCTGTGTCACCCAGACCCTCTTTGGGGCTCTTCTGTGGTGCAGTGAGAATTGGGTGTGAGTGTTTCTAGCACTGGGAACCACACCCCTGCTGTGCAGACAGAGCACCTGGGCAGTGGGTCTGGCCTCACTCTCGCCTCTGCCGGGTGCCCTTGCACAGGTGCTTGGCTTCTTCAAGGGCATGTCCTTCCCGCTGGCCAGCATCGCTGTCTACAACTCAGTGGTGTTCGGGGTCTTTAGCCACACCCAACGGCTCCTCAGCCGGCACCGCCTCGGAGAGCTGGAGGACGACCCCGGCCGAAGTGTGTCCGATCTGCTCCTGGCTAGCATGGTGTCCGGCATGATCTCGGTAGGGCTGGGTGGCCCGGTGGACCTCGTCAAGATCCGGCTGCAGATGCAGACACAGCCGTTCGGGGAAGGTAAGAGTCTGATGGAGGGAAATGTGCTAGCTGAGGACCTGTGCCGTTTTCACAGCCTTGTTAGTGAGCGAGACCGTGTCCTCCCCGCTCACCATTGGGGCCACCCTGTTTTCTCTTCTTGGGGCTCTTCTGTGCAGCTCTGACACAGGAGGAAGGAAAGGAGAGGACACAGGGTGTGTGTGTGTGTGTCAGTTTTAGTGGGAGAAGGAAAGGAGAGGGGCTCAGGGTGTGTGTGTGTCGGCTTTGGTGGGGGAAGGAAAGGACAGGGGCACAGGGTGTGTGTGTGTGTGTCAGCTTTGGTGGGGGAAGGAAAGGACAGGGACAATCACTGTGGGCCAGCTCTGGTGGAGTTAGGCGCTGGAGGTTTCCACACCTGGGGTTGTGTTCTTGGTTCTTTCAGAGTTTTCACCATTCTCCCAGGGAGGTGTGACTCCCCCAGCCTGGGTCTCCGTGTCTGTAGAATGTAGGCGTGCACCCCGCCATGTCCTGCCATACTGTGTACCTCCTGGTCACCCTCAGAGGGCTGCTGAGTGACTCCTCCACCCACTGGGGCTGCAGCTGAGCCGTGTGACAATGGGTGACCCACAGGCTCATTCAGGAGCATGCTGGCCCAGGTCCTCAGCTCCCTGTGCAGGTACTGTGTCAAGGCTGAGGCTGACACGCCCCACTGTGCACAGGGAGGACCTGGGCCCAGAGGCTCCTGTGTCTCTCTCCAACCCACAAGGTTGGTGTCAGGATGGAGGGGATGCAGAATCACAACAGAGCCCCGACAAGGTAGGGGCACAGCCATCTGGTCCCACCCCAGGGCACAGGTGTGGGGAGAAAGTTCAGCCAGGGAACTAGCAGTGGTAAGCCGAGGTGCTAGGAAGTGTGCCTTCCCCCATGTCCTGGTGAACCCAGGACGCACCTCCCTGCGTGCCTGCCTCCCGCTGATGGTGAAGAACCGCAGCCCAGGCCAACAGCGCAGCACCCACAACCGAGAGCAGCGGGAGGGGCGGGGGTCATGGTAATCTTGCCATGGCACTGTTTCCACACTTGTCCTGGTGTGTTTAGAGCCTCTGGTGTGTTTTTAAGATGGGAAAACTGGCTTTACTGTGAGATATCCCAGTTCAGAACTGTCAGCTAGCCCAGCTACATAAACTCAGAGAGGCTGCAGTGTGGCCGGAAGGGCATGCACCGGACATGCGTGTGTCCTGCAAGTTCGAATGCGCCGCTGTGGGTCAGGTCCTGTGGATGAGGTCCTGTGGATGACAGCTTTGCTCACATGAGCGTGTCCAGGCACTGTGGACTCCGCTTGTGCTCTCCCTGGGTCTGCATGTTTAATTGACAATTGCCAGTGCACTCCTGGGGCACTGCGATCCTGTGAAGTGAGGGGTGCCTGAAGTCCCAAAGCCGGTTGTGTGTCCTCGACCTCACGACATGTGACAGCTGGGGTCATGGGGAGGTGGCCCACCCCTTCTTTTGGGGAGAGTTAATGACTTCCCCGTGATTGTGTGTTGGTGGCACGCACCATGGCTGAAACCCGGTCAGAACACTGACAGTGCCCTTCCCCCCTACACAACCCGCCAGTGGACACTCGTGTTGCCTAGTGAAGGTGCCTCCTTTTTACACTAATCTTTCTTAAAGTAAGAATTTTGAGGGAATTTACAAGACCGTTACACAGTTTTACATCCTTGTAGGCCCGTGAAAATAGACACACTTTCCATGTCATTCAAAAGCACGTGCATTTATTTAAAGTAAGTGTGACTGATACTTAAAATAGTTGTGTGCTGTTCCATCAAGCGTGCACACACACACACACACACACACGCACACAAGCATGCATGCACACACTCTGACTTGCTCAAGCACACACATGAACACACACACACACACACACACACACACACACACACACCCTACTATTTTCCAGTCAGGAGGAGCAGCAGATTTCCTGAGATTTCCTAGGTGTGGAAATTATTAATGTTAGCTCCACTCAGGTCCCGAATGAGTGGAAAAGTCAGGAGCTCTGCGGACAAAGAGACACGAGAATCCCGCACACATTCCGGGAGTTTGCACCCTGGTGCTGCTTCTGCAGGAGGCTCCAAGTTGCCAAAAGGAAGTAAGGGCGGGGGGTGGGGGGGGCCTGGCAGCCTAGACGTGGAGGAGGGAGGTTTGTGAAGGAGGTATGCTCTGTGCACAGCACACCTTAGGCATAGTCACGTGTGTAAGGGGTACATCTCGGTGTTTGTTGTCCTTGCCGTTTGTGTCTTTGTTTTGAAATCAGTGGACAAGACAACGTGTCAGTCTTGAACATTCTCGGTCCCGGATGGGAATCAGTGGTCTTGCCGCAGGCCACTCGGGTGACAGGCCTGTCCTTTCAGAATCCACACTCCTGGGGGACGGGGCAGCAAACGTAGTGATGGGACCCACTTCCCTCAAGCAAAGAGCTTTCTCACGGCTTCAGCCAAGCGTGTTCGTAGCATTCTCTGTGTGTCACAGAGCCAAGGACACGCATCTCTGCCCCCTCTTTACAGACAAGGAAACAAAGGCTCCTGAAGTCTAGTCCCCTGTGCATGGCTGTGCAGTAAACAGTAACGGGACAGGCACACACATGCCGGCCTGTTTGTAAGGCGGGACTTTTTCTACAGAGGCGCTGATATGTTTGGAGCCCTTGGATTTCGGGGAAGCTGATGGACTCTTGAGGAATGACAGCTAGCAAGGCTTCCTGGGCATATCATTTGAGGGGCGTGCCAGGCTGCGCAAGCCCAAACCAAACCCTAGGAGGGTATAGCGCTTTGTGTGCCCCAGGGAATGCCACCCTGTTCCTGGATGCTTGTTTCCTGAGACCCGTGCCAGAGAACATGGTGGGGGGGGGGTATTTTTAGTGTGTAAAGCCTCAGGCCAGGGTCACTGTCGAAGGTCAAGCATATGGCCCTGTGAAGGCCTTGACCTGCTTGCATCTGCCACTCGCCCAGGGACCGGGAACTGTTTGGAGACAGGCCATCATGCCAGGTTCCTAGCCTGAGGAAGCTTACTGTCCCAGAAAGGGTGCGTGATGTCTGTCGCTGTGATAAAACAGTGACCAGAAGTAGACTGCGGAGGGAAATGTTTATTTCGTCTTCTACCTCACAGTCCATCATGAAGGTACGTCAGGCTAGAAACCTTAGAACAGAACCTGGACATAGGAACTGAAGAAGAGCCGAAGAGCAGCCCTGGCTGGCTCTCTGTGTCAATCAGAGTTTCCTTATTGCAGGGAAACATCACAACCTAAAATGACCTGGGGAGGAAAGGGTTTATTCAGCTCACACTCCCAGATCATAGTCCATCACTGAAGGAAGTCAGGACAGGAACTCAAACAGGACAGGGACCAGGAGGAGCTGAGGCACGGGCCATGGAGTGATGCTGCTTACTGGCTTGCTCCCCGTGGCTTGCTCAGCCTGCTTTCTTATAGCACCCAGGACCACCAGCCCAGGCATGGCCCCACCCACAATGGCCTGGGCCCTCCTCCATCAATCACTAATTAAGAAAATGCCCCATAGCCAGATCTTATGGAGGCATTTTCTCAATTCAGTTTCTCTCCTTTCAGATAACTCTAGTTTGTGTGTCAAGTTGACCTAAGACCAGCCAACATACTCTTTGTGGCTTCTCAGCTTAATTTTTTTTTTAATACCACCTAGGAGCACCTGTCCAGGTATGGCACCACTCATGGTGGGCTAGGCCCTTTCCATATCATACACTAATCAAGAAAATGTCCCGCAGGCAATCTGATGGAGGCACTTTCTCAGTTGAGAATCCCCCTTCCCAAATGACCCCAGACTGTGTCAATGTAACAAATGACTACAACCAAAACCAAATAGAAGTGACATCTACCCCCCCTAAAAACAAAAGTGTCTTGCAGAGAGACCTGTAGAGATGAGCTCAGGAAACAGGACCCAGGTACTTCCAGAAGAGTCATAGACCAGTTAACCACAGCCTTCTGTCAAAAGTCTCCAAAGGGCCTAAGCTGCTGATGCAGGAGACTGATAGATTGAAGAAGTTGGCAGGGCATCAGTAGCTTAGTGAGCTGAACACTGGCCCAGCCTCCTCTAACTTTCCTTAGCCCCCTTGGACAAATGGCATGCAAGTCCAGGAAATTCAAGTGCACATATTTCCAGGAGCCACTTTCCTGTCATCCCCCAAATCAGTGTGTAAGAGTCATTCACATTTAGCCACCATGAAGCACAGTTCGTCCGTGCTAGAGTTCCAGAGGACTCTCTCCTGGGGCTAACTTGCAGACCACACACCATCCAGGTCAAGGCATAGAGCTCTGGGTGCTACATGGTCAACATCTGGGAATTCCTGAAAGAAAATTCCGGAACCTGCTTAGCAGCTGTATATTGACCTGGTGTAGTTTTCTCTTGCTCCTACCATTGCTGCTGAGTTGACAAGTACAGTGCAGAATCTTCATCAAGCCTTTGTGACCTTGGCCTGGCCCTTGTGAGTATCCTGATGTGTTTTCATGTGGTCCGAGAACTGTAACATCTGCAGCTGGTTGACACGTTTTTGTGGTTCCAACGTGAACCATGCATGCCACTGAACTGGTACAGGTGGACCCAAACCAACCACTACCCCAGAGGTGGTTTCCTTCTCAGGGAGCACTTCCTCGATGGTGCTCTTGAACCTCGGGTATCCTGAGAGCATTGTGGGCTGTGCAGCACCGCACTGTTTCCTGTGACTGTAGGAAATGATTTCCACAGTGGGCGTGCTTCTATAGGTATGTGCAACTGTCAGAGCTCACTAACTGTGCCTGCCTTTAAGAGTTAAGCTTTGTATTAAGTGTAAATGTAGAAACGACCTGATTAAAACAAGAGTCGAAGGCCACAGAAGGCAAAGACGGGGGCTCAGGAAAAGGAGGTAAGAAGAACAGGGAAGAAACACTAGGAGCAGGTCACAGCAGGGAAAGAACAAGGAAAGCAGACACACCCTAGATGACGAATGCTCTATAACAAGAAGAGGCTGGCTGTTTTCGTCCTGAATGG